TGGCAGAAAATGTCTAAAACCCTAAAGTAGGTTAATCCGGAGCTGCCCATAATATACAGTAAATTAGAAATATTTTCTAAACTTCAAAATACTGAATAAACTTTCCAGCCTTTAAATTTTTTTAATTAGAGTATTTATAGCTTTATTAAATTAACAGAATGGAATTAAATTCCCAAATCTGAAATAATAGTACTTCACGATGCTTATCAATTTTCATTAAAATTAAATTTTCTCTTAAAAATAGAATTCTGCTGAGTGAGAAACGTATACATTTTTTTAGTATTTTATTTAAGTTTTACCCTAGTTCCGTAGCAAAGCAAGGAAAAAGTGAAATCTGCGACATGAATCAAATAATAAAAGCCTGGCTTTGTACAAAGTAGTTTACTATCTCTCTATATAAAAATGGATGTTTGTATGTATGAAATCGTTTCACTCCAACACCGTTCAACCGATCACCATGAAAATTGGCAAGTATATGTATTTTTTTGTGGAGAAGGTTTTAGTGTAATCCTCTTTGTTACAGCTCTCCACCAGGTAGCGCTACAACGTATCAACTTCTGCGCCGTTCAATCAATCGCCGTTGCCAACATGGTCGCCAAAAATGATGCCAACTAGGCTCTATCGCCAACATTTCGCTATGTTTCCATTGAATCGCCTTTATTATGGAAGGAACGGTGTTGCGTGCGTCATAAAATAAATACAACAGAAAATAATACACACCCAGATATAAATTTACACTATTTTAAACGTTCTTTACACAAAATTTGTAACAATTTGTTACTTTTGGTGAACAGAGCTCAGCTTAGGAAAGTGTTTTCAAAAATCGACCTACAAGAGAGTTGCGAAGCGTTTTAAATAACTAAAAAATCCTTTCTATCAGCTATTAGAACTACAGACTTAAAATTTAAGAAATATGTTGTTGTTTTTGTTCAGCTGAGATATGCAAAAAAAAAAAAGCCTTTTTTTTGTTTAATTTGCAACTCACGTAAAATGAACTCATTAAAAACTTCTTTATCCTTCAATCTGTATTGTTTAATTTTTCAATTCACCCATGCGAAGAACGGGTATACAAGCTAGTATTTCATAAAGACAGTTTTTATCTTAAATATAAACTGAACTGTGATTGAAATATGTGGTTGGTCACGACGCGTTGAATACTGCCATAAAATATTGATTTCTTATTTATCAACGTCGCACTTGATAACATAAAGGCTATTTGCAATGGGCTTTGTAATTTTGAACGATGGTCAAGTCATGTTTGAGCTGACAACACATTCTTTTAACTTCCACACTATGTAAACGGAATAACTTTGAACAATGACAGATTTAACACGATTCAGTCCTAAACAAAACGGATCACAACGGAAGAGATTTTAAATACAAATGGTGCATCTTAGTGAACAACACATTTTAAAAAGGCTGATGATATAGTTTTTTTAAGAAAAAGACGACCCAGATTTAATATTTATTTATAAATATACAAAAATAGCATCAAATTTTCATTTACAATTGGTTATTATTACTACATAAAATTCGAAAAGTTCCATCTTATTTCTTAATTGTATCATTAATGAGAAAAAAACGGGCTTTATACGATAACCCACAAAGGAAGTAATGATAATCTATAGGAGTTAAGAAATCAAATTTATTGGTAGGTTCTCCTACACATAGACACTTCAACCTTTCTTCTGTTTAGCTTGCAATGAAACAGCTCCGTTTGCAGAATTTTGAGCTGCTTATACCTGGTTAGATATTTATTATGGAATTTTATTGCTGACATACTCAATTTTGAATTCTGACATGTCACTCAATAAAAATAAAAATTAAGATGTCTCTCAGATTTGCGGTGTCATACTGTCACTAGTCTAGACTTTTTCAACACTTCTAATGAGATTGACGACAGGGATTGGGGTTAATAGGGCAAAAAAGCAACAACCTCAGAGTGATTATTTTCCTCACCAACTCTAAACATTTTTACATTGGACTAGAAAAACTTAATTACAGAAGAATGAGAGAAAAAAAAATATATTAAATACTTACCAATCGCCCGCTCCTGAAACGCTCACAATTTTTTCAGGCTTTGGCGCAGAGTAATAAACGGCTCTAACTTTATCCTGAAAAAATATATCGGATAAGTTTGAAAAGAACAACAATATATGTTCAGTTTTAGCTTAATTTATTCAAGTTTTTGGTTTTCAGTTAATACTATATTAGACAGTATAATCGAAAAATAAAGGAGAAAAGTGACTCACTCATTCATTTATTCACACTCACTCACTCATTCATCAAGATATCCCCGGAACTATTAGACTTACAGACTTTAAATTTGGTGCGCGTTCCTTCAATAGAGTAGAAATCCGCAGCAAAAGAGGTGTTTTGCAAAAATAAACCCCCAAGGGGGAGGGGTTGCGAGGTATTAAAGGGATGTTATAGAACCCTTGAACTATTAGACCTACAGACTTGAAATTTAGCAGGCATGTTCCTGTTACAGAGTAGAGATCTGCTAAGAAAAAGTTTTGTGAAAATCAATTTCCAAGGGGCGTTGCGAGGGATTAACTGCCGATGCAGAAAAACATTCCTGTTTTTGAACTATTGAACCTGCAGACTTGAAATTTGTTAGACATGTTCTTTTCATGGAGTAGAGGTTCGTTACAAAAGAGGTTTTTACGAAAATTGACCCCCAAGGGGAGGTTGTGAGAGTTTAAAGGAACGTTATAGAAAAATATTCCCGTTTTTGAACTATTAGACCTACAGACTTGAAATTTGGCATGCATGTTCCTTTCACGGAGTAGAGATCCGCTAAGAAAGGGTTTTTGCAAAAGTTGACACCCAAGGGGGTTTTATATAAAAAAAAATCCCTTTTATAAATTATTAAACCTACAATTTTGAAATTTGGAAAATTTGTTACTTTTAATGAACAGAGATCAGTTAAGAAGGGGGCTTTCAAAAATCAATCAACATAGGTGTTATGGGAGCGTTAGAGATGAAAAAAATCCCTTTTTATCAACTGTTAGACCCCTATATACTTAAAATTTGGCAAATATGATTTTTTTTAGCAAAGATATGCTAAAAAAGGGGTTTTTTTTGTTTAACTTGCAATTCACGAAAAATGAACACATTAAAGATTTCGTTATTCTTCAACCTCTATTGTTTTATTTTTCAATTCATCCGTGCGAAGAACGGGTACACCAGTTAGTAAAGAAAAAAAATCGTAGCCGAGTGGATAACATGCTGCCTTCTATTGACTTTTTGGCTGCCAATATCACTAAGTGATAGCAGCATTAGATATATTATTTTTTACTCTTAAGTAAAAAATTTATTCTTAGTTTATTTTTTCGGATTCGTTTAAAAATAGAAATGACAAGCATTTTTTTTAATTGCGAACATTTGTGAATAATTCAAAGCAAGCTCCGATATCATAAATAACTTAAATATCTTCCAAGGGTGTTTACTTTATTAAAATAATTAAAATTATTACTCATCTGGAAGTCGTTTTATAATCTTTTCCTTGGGATCTTTTCGCCCGGTAGGTTAACCGAAAAATTCTCAAGAATGTAGTAAAATCGCAAAATAAGTTTGATAATCATAATCTGATATATTAATAGATAAAAACAAATTTTAAATCGTATCTAAAATAATACTGGCCTCTTTAATCAATGCAATACCAACAAATTTCATTTTGTGTTATCAAGACTTTCATAATAATTAACAAATTAAAAAAATAAATCGAAATTAACGTGTAGCAAATTTCGTTGTTCCGCACATGACGGTTCTTAAATAGAGGAGATGAGATAGAGAGAGAAGAGATAGAGAGAGAATAGGGATTTGAACCCATGACTCAACTTGATGGTGAAAAGGGCATGGAATTCATGATTACGAAACAACTAAGCGAGATTGACTTCGTGTTAGTTTTATGTTTTAAAGATGGGAATCCTTGTGTCATATAAGCGGACACATTCACTCATTCATTGTCCAACAATAGGGAAACAACATTGATAAGTTTTGTTTAAATCGCGATTTCTTAAAAAGTAAAAGCGTATGATATATGCAGCAAAATCTTACTTTCGGAGTAGGTTCTTGACCAGTCGGGAAATGTATTTCTGACGGTAAATTCGTGATGAGGAGAACTCCGTGTGGTCCAAGAGTGACTATTAGAGTATGAAGCTGCCCATCAAGAAGAGGCACACCTAACTTCAAACTCTCGTCTAAAACTTCTTCCAAATTGTCTCCAGGTCCTAATAAACAAAGAGAAAAAATAGTTTATATTACACGGGGTGTAGCCGAATTTGACCGATAAATTCAGAGGGCTGATAGTAGACCTCATGGGGACCCCATAGAACAGGGATGGGCATTAAGGTCGATCGCGATTGGACCTTCAAGACGTTTTAGGTTGACCGCCTTTACTAAGACACGCTTACTAAAAGAAACCTATTTATGGAACACTAATACCAGCTAGATTTTAGAATACTCTTTTCACAATCAATGCAACTGTGTTTACTGAAGCAAATGATTCAATAAGTGTGTAGATGACACATGTACCTTCATTGGAAGCGAACGATGACCTTTAACATGTTCAATGCCACTATAGGGGGGAAATTCCCCACTCTCCGACTAAAGGGGAGAATAAATGTTGATGATTAGCTATTCTCGCGATTCCACGGGATTGGGTTCTTGTGTTGACATCATGTCTCGCGATGGCGTGGGACTCGGTAGCGAACAAATTAAGTACATACGTCGGTTTCAGTTTCATACATTCACGTATCTTCTCTACTTGATGCATTGAATACTACCACGTTCCACGGTGTAGCAGACCCTCATAGTTTTTTAAGCATTCAATTTGACAATTTTGTGTTGCTTGAATTTTTGTAGTAAAAATAGTATTTTGTCATATTTTAGAAGAGGGGTACAATATCGAAAACAAGTGCTAAAAAAACATACAGTTTTAGTACAGAAGGACCACACCTACATTACTGGGTGGACCACAACACCTTAAAAACATT